GAGGGCGTTTCAAATCACAGCTGTTCTGTAACTGAAAAGGACTCTCAGTTAATCACGATAAACTACCGAACTCAATGACCTCAAGAAAAAATTCGATTTGAACATTGCTAACACCGTTCCGCCTGGTGTGTGTCTCTGTTGACTGAGATTGACGGATACTACGTGCAATCATCTGGTTCTGTGTAAAACAGTATTTTTAGCCCACTTTTTGCAGTACGGTAGTGCAGCGGTGTACAGCTGTATTAGCCGATAAAGAGCTACGCAACTCGAAGGATTGAAGCAGGTATCGAACACGCGTAACGTGCTGGTTTCCAATCCGGCGGTGACACGAGTTTAACCCTGAAGTAACGAATGAATCATTTAATGACGCAGACAATTACAATCTACTTCATGAAGCACCAGAAACAGCATTCGGCATTTCTTCCGCCGTTGTAAGATGTGTTCTTCTGATATGTCCTTGGGGTTCAACTATTCACTTGTCACACAAACTGACTCTTTGACATTAGAACGTTGAAACGGATTTGCGCTTTGCGTCGGATTTGCTCTTTGCAACGCAGGCTGCGTCTAGTCGCGCTGACTGAACCGGATATCGACCACGGTGATCAGGTATTCGAACCGTGCCTAAAATGTACCAAATTATAAAACTAACAAACAATCAACTGACTTGGATTTTAATCGATTGATAATTTTCTATACTGCACTCGGTTTCGGCAAAAAAAAAACATCGCGTCCACGTCGCGGAAAGCGAACTTTAGCGAACATGATTAGTCAAAGGGAACAGAGTACCAATGCCCGATTCTGTTCAACGAATGCACTAACGGTAAACCAATGTCACTGATCACTGAAGGCCAGATGAAGATGGATGTAAAACCAAATACAGGTGGGATACAGATCTTCGCGATGCGATTTTACAGAAAAAAGCCCTTTCACTGCAAATTCGTAGGTAACACCGTGCTGAATAAACATGTCGTAATTAACTAGAATAAAAAATGGATAAATGAGTACCAGAACCGACTGTGCATCATTCAGTGACCTCTATTACAAAATAAGAAGGAATAGATCACTGTCGCAGCTTCCCTACCAGTTACTCACAAATGCATTGCTGAATGAACGCATTTCGAAGACCTATGAGCAATAACTTTGACAATTAAAGCAACTGAATCAGAATCGGCTGGACGTAGATGACGAACGACCTGCATTGCTGATATCCACACGGGCGACAAACTGGCATACGATGCGCGAAGAATCGTTCACACAGGTACACGCAAAGTCTAAAAATGAAGCGAAACTGAATAAGACTAAGAAGTTTAACTAAACAGCGGCACGTCACGAATGAACACAGACTTCGTGTGGAAAAAGACGCAGATCGGCCATCAGAACACCATAATGAGGTAGCTGAACTGTTGTACGACGGCGAAAAGGGTTGAGGAGCAATGCGAAGCAACGTATCAATCATTATCTGCAGTCATAAGCGGTGGATACTGACGAACCGAAAGGGATCCCGAAGAAGAGCGGTAGAAGTGGTGTCATAGGATGATTGTTGATGTAATAACGAGATTCAACAAAACACGGACCACGGCAATCGTAGATACTCTGGCTTGTCAGCAGCTACTAATCAAAATCGAGGGATCAGAGATGCAGTAGTTTGAACATATGATGAGAATGTCAAGAAGCGACTTTAACGTTGAAACATCTTGACAAGACAACACGAAAGACACCAAACAGGACAACGACTAAGATGGATCAATTAGGCTGAACGTTCTACACTGTCGCAACTCTGAATCTAGTCCATGGAGCTTACCCAAGATGGAAAAACCCATTCAAATTACTGTACGTCCCTATCCAAAAAGTACAGCGGGTTTGTAAAACACTGAAAGAAAAAAATAAACTGAAAGTGCCTGAACGAATACGGGGCAGTCATTAATCATCGGATGACACAGTACGCTTATCGAAACGCCGAGTATCTATAAAACAGCCAGATATCTACTGAGCCGAAAACCTACGAATCCAAAAATACAACTATGACAAAGAAAGCGGGGAACGAACGTAATGCAACTCTAGCAGCTTTTCAGGTCTCATTTCTTCGCGGGTCCTTCGTAAAATTGTTGAATAAAAAGAAAACTAGGTTTCATAAGTCGGAGTTAAAACGAGCTTGCATTTATCCGTACAGACTACTTACATTAAACGTTGTTTATCATCATGTGGAAGCAGATACAATGAGAACATCTTGTAAGTACAAAAACACTGCTTGTCGCTAGGATTTTAATGGTTACTGATTCATTCGTTCATCTGTTCTTCGTTTATTTAATTATACAGTCAACTGTCATTAATTTCTTTAGTCAAACCAATTTCTTTAGGGCCGCAAGGACATCACCTTGAGGATGCTTGCCAACGTAACCGGTTTTGCAAAATCAGGCCAAGCTCGTCGCCTGTATGTCGTAGCATGACAATGCCAGAGTTGCAGCATACTGAACCGTACGACCCTTCTGCATCCTGAGCCGCAAGCCACCTGATTTTGAAAAGGCAGTCAGACTTGTGACTCGTTATCATGTTTCCTAATCTTTATGCGTATATAAGCAAGAGAAATAAAATTTCCCTTCAGAGCATCGTCGACATGAATACATATAAATATGGGTAACTTGATTATGCCAAGTTTCTCAGATATTGTCTGTTCAAACTGCAAAAAGAATATTTAATCTCTATAATTTGATGTTGCTCAGTAGGCATCGCTGGATTTTCCAGTGGTCTTTTCATGCGTAATCATTCACCGCCCAGGAAAAGTAAACGAAAGAGGAAAATATTTTGCCATACATCTTTAGAAGGTTATCACGTACTGAAGCCTCTGACGCTTCCGTCAACATTTTTGGCTAGTGCTCATTTAACAAACAGAGGTGACTAAAAAATCATACTGAACTCGTTGCAGTCATTATATCATCGTTAATATAATCATTATCGAAAACCCGCAACGCAGCGTAAATCCGGAGTGACAGCAGAATGTCATTTTTACCGGCGGTATTAAAACCTAATAACATAATATATAACAACGGGACTGAGGCATATTCCGTTAAGTTCGAACATGTTTGTTCGACCCAACAAAGTGAGGTTTTGCGCCCACGCACTGCAGGTACTTAAATAACGTGGATTCGTGACCTGCTTGAATGGTTCCCTAAGCTGACAGAAGCAAGAGGAAGGTGCGTTGCGCCGTGTAAGTCCGGCAAAGTAACAGAACAATGATAATCATTATTACGATTATAAGAAGTCACAGTTATTCTCCTCGTGCAGCTCATTCTTATCATCACTCTCGTCGTTCACCTGCTGGTCTTTATCATCATCGTCACCTTCATCAATCGCAATACAAGCTCATAACTACGTAACGACCAGAACTTGACGATTTGGCAGACAGCCAACCGCTGCACTAATTTTCACAGCGAACCGTCTCGCGACTCGATTGGCCGAACGAGGAGGTCGGCGAGGTGTCATGTGCAGGTTGAAATCAACAATTTTTCGAAATGTCGTCATCCGAGACAAACAAAGATAATCACTTTCCAGCTTTTTACATTCTACCACTTAACAGATTTACCACTGATAAAATATTCGTGAATACTACACCAATACCGCCGAACGCGCAATGAAATTCAGTTTTAGCCAGCGGCTCGGATTCTTGCCGGCCGTTCGATGCGGTGATCCAATAAATCGCCTCAGAAGCCTCAGCTAGTGGTTGCCTCAAACAGTTCCGAAGGCCCAGGTGTACTAAATGAGACAAATGCGTCTAAATTTGGCCCCGTTACACCGTCTCTCCTTCGGATATTCACTCTTTCATTCACTTAACGGTTAACTGATCGGAACATACAATCACTTTCTTCCATCGCATTACATATCTTCTAATGACCATTTCAGCTTTTCTCCCCACTCTTCGACATCAAAGCATCAATGAGAAACGCACTTACTCCCTATGCGCTAATCTTAGTTTTTCGGTTTTTCAGCAAGTTCCCTGCTTAATGATGGCACAGAAAACTTTTCTTCCTTCCCAAAGCTGATGCAATCATAGAGTACCTTATCTTCTAATCCTCACCTTTCATCAAGGTTCTACGGCCAGCCACCACCGTACTTAACAGACGCGCTATTGCTTACTGATTACATCACTGCGCTGCATTTCTTGTCGTTCTTTTGGAACCTGACACGTTTTCTTCGCGTGTTCCTCTTCTCTGTTTTTAAAGACGACCATTTTGGACTATTACGTCAGATACATACCAGTACATAAAATATGTCATATTTGTAGAGAGCGTATGTGCAGTAACAAAAGCAGTACATGAAGCATGTAACGCACACAATTACACAACCATCCGCCCTGATGACTACAGAATGTACGAGTTCCAGTCAGCAAAAATCGCAGACAAACCGAAGCGAAAGGCCATACCGAAAGACTGAACGATTTTTGGAGAAAACGGCGTTTACTGCATTCGATCATGGGTCCGACTGCTGGGCATCGTCCATCAGAAGAGGCGACAACGAACTCAATCATAAGTTTGTTCGCTTCAACCGACAGTGTTGCAGGATGGCTTTTCCCACCTGAAGGAGGGCGTTCGAGGTTATTAGACGAGTTACTGCACTTACACTAGATGCAAAGCGAATGAATAACTAGTACGAATCTCAAGCATAAAACACGCACGTAAGGCATATGTAGCATGCAGTTTATTTACAGAACACGTTTTGAACCGAATATGGTTCGTGCGTTAGCTTGGCAAACGTTTCCCCTATCTGAACAGGTCCAGT